AGGGCGCGTGAGGGCGGGGGTGAGGGCGGGGGTGAGGGCGGGTGGGGGCGGGTGAGGGCGGGTGACGGCAGGTGAGGGCGGGTGAGAGCGGGTGACGGCAGGCGAGGGCGGGTGAGGGCGGGTGACGGCAGGCGAGGGCGGGTGAGGGCGGGTGAGGGCGGGGGTGAGGGCGGGTGAGGGCGGGTGAGGGCGGCGTGGGCTGGGTCCCTGTAGGCCTTCCCTTCCTGTACTGCTCCACTGCAGAAGGCCCGCGGGGCAGGGGCAGCGCTGCCAGGCCGCCGTAGCTGGCCAGTCTCCAGGCCCCGCCTGCAGTGCTGGTGTCATTGGTCCAACTGGCCGTCTGAGAAGACAAAACATTCGTGTTCTTACGGTTGTGAGTCAGGGCATAACGTCAAGAAAGTGATTATGAAACCATCATTTTGTACAGTTCGGGTGGCGTTAGCCAGGGTAACGCCGCTTACGTTACTGTGAAATCTTTTCAGCTCTTCTGAGCTCTTCCCGTAGCAACTCGGTCCATCAGAACAAAGCCCTGCATTCTGGTGGGACAGGGCAGCCTGGTGGGTAGTGCTGAAAAGCCATTGGTGGCCCAGAAGGTCAGAACAAGACAAACCCCGAGGACTGCTGCAGCTCTCCACAGAGCCTGTGAGAGGAGAGGGAGCCAGGGACACTGTCTGCCACAGCCTCGCTTCCTGAGGGCCTTTCGCTAAGAGAAAATTCCTCAGGCCTGCTCGGCCCGCGCCCGTGGTCAGGCATGTGTAACGGTAGTGGCTCGCCCAGGGTAGTGGAAGCTGGACTAGCTCTGCAGAGCCTGGGGTCTGTGTGCACAGGGCCTTCCGTCAGCTTCCCCCACTCACCAACCTCGGGGTTAACAAACTGTGGCTCTTTATCCGCGTCAGAAAGTGTGAGGCCGAGTCCAGCTTCCTCCCTGAGCGATCAGGATTGTACACGCCAACCCTGGCGAAAGTCCAAGTGTGGGAAGCGCCCCAGGGGCTGGTCTGGGACGGTTCTGACAGGATGTGGGGAGGCTTCCGCGGCCATTCTGCTTCGCTCACCTGCTCAGATACTCTGACAAACAGCGGGTCTGCAGCCCTCTGCTCTGCTCTGACCTCCTCTCCTGCCCTCCGCACAGTCCCGCCGAGCTCGGTCTGAAGATCTAGAGACCAGCAGACCTGCTCTCTGCAGTTGGGCCTGCAGGCCTGACAGTCTGTGGTCCCCACTGGACGTCGAGACTTCATCTGTGGCCAGTCCTTCAACAGGACTCAAAGCAGCTCTGCTCCGGGCTGAAGCCCTGACAGCGCTAAAGGAAGCCCAAGTCCGCTGGGCCCCGGAGGCCAAGCCTGGAAGAGTTGTTCCCCTGCCTCTGTTCCCTTTCTAGCTCCTTCTAGTTACCGCCTTGGGACATGTAGAGGTGGCGCACACATGCCTGGGCCTGGCAGAGTGTGGTCTAATAAAGCATCTACATGTGAGAGCCCTCGAGTGCTTAAATCCATTTTCTAATTTGGGAAGACACTAGCTTTTTAAAAAAATCTTTTTAAACCATTTGCTTATATATTTAAAGCAAATTAGGGGGGGAAATGATACATGACAAAAGAAAATAAAAATTAGCCAAAAGTCACACAGTCAGAAGTAACTGATACTTACCAAAAGGGATTATAATAAATATGCACAGATTGGTGAATTAATAATTAAACTTATTGCTCTATAAATTACATATTATTTTAGTGTTTAAATTAAAAAAAAAATTATCTGTGTAGCCCTGGCCATCCTAAAATTCCCTCTGTTCACCAGGCTGGCCACAAACTTGGATCCACCTGCTTCTGCCTCCCAAGAACTGGAATTAAAGGTGCGTTCCACCACGCCCAGCTCAACAATTTAATTTTAAGGAATTTCTGTAGAGAACTCACACATGTGTACATGCCTTCTTAAAATTATTATAAACATTTTTAGTTGGTGCTTTCTTATTCTAAAATTATCTCCCTTTTTGTTGTTTTTGGTTTTTTGTTTTCCGATGGGCTGTCACAGTAGCCTCCAGCTTGGGATATTATTGCCAAGGATAACCTTGAACTTCTGATCCTCCTGCCTCCACTCTCTGAGTGCTTGGATTATGGGTGCGTGCTGTTGTGCCTGGTTTTGTGTGGTGCTGGGTTAGATCTTAGTATCTTTTACATGTTAGGTAAAGCATGTAAAATTACATTCCTGTTCCTAAGAAATTACATGCCTGTTCTCAAGAAAATAGATTTTTATTCAGAAAAGACCCTTTATTTTTATGACCTTTATTGGCTTTGAGAATAAAAGGAGCCAAATTCCCCACACTGTGTCTAAGGCTCAAAATATAGTCAAGGAAATAGCTTCTTTTTAAAAGCTTTGGGCCTGTATACATTGTAATACCCAAAATGAACATCTAAGTCCCACCAGGAACCGGGCAACTTCCTGGAATGCTGGGAATTGTAGTTCTTGGAAAATAACAACGCCTCATTGGTTTGTCCTCATAAACCCCTTCAACACACAGCTCTCAGTTGGGAAGTTCCAGGGAAGGGTCCTGACCAGAGTCCATCTCTTTGTCAGTATTTAATATTTAAGAAAGCTTGCTTCAAATTTGCCCTCAAAATGGTGGAACTGGTTTTTCCCCAGCAAATCTCAGGATTAACAACAAGAAGAGAAGAACTTTTGTTACTCTAGAGAACTCTGATACACTTATTAATTTCATTTTTAGCCTTTTTATACTCTTCAAGATATTATATAAAATTTTTATTCTATTTTTTGTATGTCTGTTTAGCACATAGAATAATTATTGGGTCTTACTAAATAACTTTCATACTTAAGTATTTCAGAGTTCTCTTACCATAACTGATAGTTCCAGTTAATTTTCAGTTATTTCTAAGCATGTGATCACATCCACAGATGAGATCACTTTTCCTGTTCTACTAATATATGAAGGACATGCTTCTTTCTCTCCCTAACTGCACTGGCCTTTCTAGAGTAGTGTTAAGTGGTCATGGTAACAATATTATATGCCTATAATCTATGAGTTTCAACATTGACCATGAGAGACCGCCTATTGTATAAATTAAAAGAATTTTATTTACTATCAAATCAGAGACAGATGATGAATTTTAGAAAAAAGTTTAAAAACTAAAACAACATTGTTTTCAGTTTCCTTTTACCTTAATTCTCAATAAATAATTCTTGTAGCTCTACCTGGTTGTGGTGTAGCCTGCTGATTTCTCTTTGATAATGTATTATTAAAACTTTTGCAAAGATGTTCATGATGAATATTTATCTTTTATTGTTTCTTTTAAAAACTTTGATATTGTTAGGTCTCAGACAGTGCATATATCCAGAAATGACAGTCTTGGCCCACCTAAATGGGACTATAGAAAGATTTCTGGTGATCAGATAAAGTCCTCAGGAATTTGTGAAATGGGTTCCCATTTGTCGAAGGAAGTTGCTTCCTTTGCCTCTAACAGAAAGGACATATGGCTCTCCATTGACTTCCTGTGATTGCCTGTCAAAGCCCATCCTGGCCTCTAGGCTCCTACAGGTCCTATTCACAAGTATCCAGTGTGCATCGTAAAGCCCCTGCTAGCATCCTGGTCTTTTTTTGTTGTTTGTTTTTGTTGTTTGCTTTGTTTTGTTTAAAGATAGGGTGTCTCTGTGTAGCTCACTGTATGGAACTCACTCTGTAGACCCAGCTGGCCTCAAACTCAAGATCCACCTGCCTCTGACCCCCAGGTGCTGGGATCAAAGGCATACACTACTGTGCCCAGCTCATCCTGGCCCTTCTTACCTCCTCCCCTACCCTAAAGTCACAGGCCTACCCCAGATCACACACTTCTCTTCCCACAGCTATTTATCTCCCATAAACCATGGTAGTTGCTATGCTCTGTTGTCCTCTATCTTTCACAGATAGCCCCAGCCACGTTCAGTCTGCATTTTATTTATTTGTTTGTTTGTTTATTTTCTGTCTGCTCTACACTCCTCCAAATGCCTCTGGATTCTCTCTCTCTCTTTCTCTCTCTCTCCTATTCACAATAAAACCTCCACCCTAATAATGGAGCAGCCATTTCGGTGGTTTCTTCGCTGCACTGCTCACATACTAAATTAGTACTATATTGGTTTTTTATTATATTAACTGTTTTTCTTTTACTTTGATCAAAAATTTAACCACTAAATTCATCTTTTTGCTAAAGATTAAAAATAAATCTAATGTGAAACCATTCGACCTGATATGTTTGGAGAATTTTTTCATTCCAGTCATTCTCCTCATAAACTGTCACTTCTTTCGTGTGTTTTACTAATTCATATGCTCAGCATATGAAAATCATGGCTCAGCAGACCAAACTAAAGAGTGCATGAACCAACGAGTTTTTGTGGGGTTACAAACAGAAGTATGGGTGTGAGGTTAATTATAGGTGCAGGTATGACTCAAAAGCGATAATGAAAATTCCACACCAACATGGAGACAACTCGCAGAGGCCATGACCCTGGAACTCTGTGTACAGTTTGCAGCCAGCTGGAGAGTCTGAGAATCCCTCTTCTCTATAGCTCAGCTAGTCTGCTCCTCCTCTCCCAGTTTACTCCATCCAGGCTCAAGCTACGTCTAGCAGAGCACACAGTCTCCTTCTGCTGCCTTGGATCTGGATGTAGAACTCTCAGCTCCTGCTGTAGCCCAATGCCGGCCTGTATGCGGTCATGCTCCCCACCATGAGGATAATGGACTACGTCTCTGAAACTGTAAGCCAGCCCCTAATAAACGTTGTCCCTTGTAAGAGTTACCATGGTCATAATGTCTCCTAACACCCTAACTGAAACAACCTGCTAGGCAATATAAATGGCATTTTCCTTCTAAGCACTATGTAACTGTGAAAACCAGTGTGAAAGGTGATTTTTTTTTCTGTCGCGTGCAACATCCTGACAAAAACTGAGCAAGAAGCTGGAGGAAGCAAAGCTATGACAACTGCGAGAATGAGACAGCCTCAGTCTCAGCACCTCCAAATGCCAAGGGTAATAAGGTGGCCTGGAGGGCAGCAGGCATCTTTCACATGAAGACTTACCGTAGCAGCTGCCGTTCCTACGGGCTCCCACCCCGCATCAGGGAAACGAGTAACTGACTAAACTACAAGAGCAAGCCGCAACAGGACCTTGGGTGCTCAAGACCCTTCGAGCCAATCAAGAGCAGAGCCACTAGTTTACAAATATTGCACAAGACACCTCACGTGGCTCACGCTGACCAAGAGCCACACCAGGCAAAGGATTCTGAAGAACAGTTCTAACTTAAGTTGTTGAAACAAGTTCACTCAACTTCCTAGCCTATCCACCCGCCTGCCTGCCACGCTGAGGAGCAATATGATATGACGGCAGCAGCATAAATTTCTTAACTACGTTTACTACCAGGTATAGCATAGAAAAAAAAAAAAAACGACTACTATTGTAGATTTTCCCCTTTAAAAATTAATCTTTATACGTTAGCAAACAATGAAGCCGGTTTCCTTACCACTCTTTCAGATGTATGTGTCATTGTACTTTGTCATCACTCATTCCCCTCCCCAACTGACCTGCCCCATGTGCTTGTCTCCTAGATGGTTTTTTTCCATCTCCCATATAGTTTCTGCTTCTGCTTTTTTTTTTTTTACCACATGTATTTCATGACCCTCTCTATCTCCACCCTCCCTCATATCTCTCTCCAATATCATGATCTCCTTTCTCTTGTTATAAACATGTCAATCTTATTTTCCTGAGTAGGAGTTGAACTTGAATGCAAAGGCACAAACTTCCCTTGATAAACATTACTTCAGTATCTTTTCCATGAATTATTAACCCTTTCAAGGCTCAGAAAAGTCTAATAATATATTTATAACTCAATTTGCAACCGTCTTCTCTTCCTCCTAATGACTTAGAACCTTATCCTATAACTTGAATAGCTATTTCCTCTGAAATGAAACATTCTCTCCCGTAGAGAATCTCATTAACCTCAGGAAGTAAACAATGCACCATGAAACTGACAAGATTTGCTAGGTCCCTAGATCTTTTTTCACTCTTCTTCTATATTCAGTCATCCAGCTTGACCAGCACCATTTATTGAAGATGCTTTTCCTCTGTGTATTTGATTTCTTGGTCAATAATAGGTGTTCATGGTATGTGGACTTATGTCCAGGTCTTTAATTAGATTCCATTGATCAACATGTCTGTTTATTGATAATACCTGTTGATAAAGCTGTTTTTATGAACACAGTTTTGTAGTACAACTTGAGCCTGAGGATGGTGATACTCCCAACAGTGCAAATAAGCCCATATTTATCATGCCACATGAAACTCAACTCCAAATAGGTCAAGGACCTCAACATCAGGCCAAATAGCCTGAATCTGGTAGAAAAGAAAAGGGAAAGCAATCTTGAACTCACAAGCACAGTAAAAACCTTTCTGAACAGGATACCGATAATTAAAACATTAATAAATTAATGTTATGACACTTCATGAAATTGAAAAGCTTTTGCATAACAAAGGACACCATCATTTAGATAAAATGGCAGCCTACAAAATGGGGAAATGTCTTTATGTATTAT